CAGTGTTCCATAAAGAACTTCAAATCGTGACTCATCTGACCACAGAACAGTCTTCCATTTTGCCACACTCCATTTTAAATTACCCCTGGCCCAGTGAAAATGTCTGAGCTTGTGGAGCTTGCTTAGAAATGGCTTAATCTTTGCACTGTAGAGTTTCAGCTGGCAACGGCGCATGGCACGGTGGATTGTGTTCACTGACAATGCTTTCTGGAAGTATTCCTGAGCCTATTCTGTTATTTCCTTGACAGTGGCATTCCTGTTTGAGGTGCAGTGACGTTTAAGGGCCCGGAGAACACAAGCATCCAGTAGTTTTACGGCCTTGACCCTTACGCACAGCCATTGTTCCAGATTCTCTGAATCTTTTGATGATGTTATGCACGGTTGATGATGATGACTTAAAAGTCTTTGCTATTTTACGTTGGGTAACACCATTCTGGTATTGCTGCACTATCTTTCTGCGTAAAAATGGTGGAATTGGTGATCCTCTTACCATCTTGGCTTCTGAGAGACACTGACACTCTGAGTACCTCTTTTTATACCCAATCATGTTGTCAATTGACCTAATTAGTGTTAATTGGTCTTCCAGCTGTTTGTTATATGATCAATTTCCTTTTTCCAGCCACTTATTGCTACTTGTCCCAACTTTTTTGGGATTTGTTGACACTGAAATTTTGAATCAACATATTTTTCCTTTAAAATGTTACATTTACTCAGATTAAACTTTTGATCTGTCATCTGTTATATTACGAATAAAATATCGACATTTGCCATCTCCACATCATTGCATTCAGTTTTTATTCACAATTTGTTTAGTGTCATAACTTTTTTGGAATCCGGTTTGTACATACATATACATACATATACATATATATATTGCTAGTATCACTCAGCCTCCTGTGAATAGTGAACAGCCATCAGTGTGCCAATGATCCATTGTCACTTCACTTCCGGCAAGCTGATGGACAGCAGCTCCCTCCGGCTTCTCTGCAGTCTTTTATCATCAAACTGACCCGTTTTTCGAACCGGACTAAAGTTGGTCCTCCTTCCAGCCGAATTCGGTGTTCAGTGACTCAGAGAGCCGGACGGGACCATCCAAAAAAAATATTTTGGCCCAGGACCGATCAGCCGCTCCCCCCCATCGGTCACTCTGAGCGCACCCTGCCGGCCAGGTGACCCCTCGAGCTGGGGAGTCGACGCACGAAGGTCCGGTGTTTTTTCTCTCTCTCTCTGGACCTCAACGAACTCTTATCTGGACCTTTGTGGTTCTACCTGGTTCCGTCAAATATAGCCGGGTGGTATTTTGCTGGTTTTCAGCTGGACTGGCCCTCGTGGTGTCTCCATAGGTGTGGGGGAAGTGTACCTGTGACCCTCGAATTGGACCAGAACCGAACCGAGGTGGCTGTGGGGGATTTCGTCTTCTACAGAGCCGGTCTCAGCTTCAGTGAGCAGCCCGTTACTTTTACTGAAGGACGATCCACCTCCGTGGAGTCGCTGTGTTCACCTGGAGGAGACGCTCCGGTGCTTTGAAGTGCCGCCGGACCGGAGCAGAACCGCGCCGCAGGACTGGGCCGCCGGACCGGAGCAGAACCACGCCGCCGCGCCGCCGGACCGGAGCAGAACCGCGCCGCCGGGCTGCCGGACCGGAGCAGAACCGCGCCGCCGGGCTGCCGGACCGGAGCAGAACTGCGCTGCCAGACTGGGCTGCCGGACTGGAGCAAAACCGGGCCAGGGATATCTTCAGCCTCTTCGTCTCTCGTGCTTGGAGCGCCGGAGCCGAACTGGAGCAGAACCGGACCGGACCAGTTGCCGACTTCAGCCTCAGCCTCTCCGGTCAGTCTCGTTTTTCACCGGGGGTGCCCCGTGCTGTCGGGTGCTGAGAAGCGGAGGAGCAGTGTGGAAGAGCAGCGTGAAGGAGCAGGGCTGCGTGGTGCTCGAGTGAAGTTCGGAGTTTGTATCGGAGTTGCTGCAGGCCTCCATCCAAACTCACCTGGATAATAATTAATTTTATTCCGGATCACGCTGTTGGCCCCTGTTGACCTGAAACGAGCTTGGATCATGCCTTTCACTTCAGGAGGATTTTCTGGCAGCTCGCTCTGCTATTTGCTGCAAATTTTCTGTTTCTGTTTCGGCCTGTTGATTCTGGACCCAGCTTCTGTTTCTCATGGGAGCATCCATCCATCCATCCTTCTTCACAGGGGGGCCGGAGCCCCCCTCAGCCCAACTCAAACTGCAGTTGGGCCACCTCATCGGGTTTGTTTGCCCATTTGAACTGTGACGTTTTATGGTCTGAAACTTTTCTGTATCATTCATATTACTGTCACTATTTTCAGCTCTCAGATTATCTGGAGTCACTGAATCTTGTTAATACACCTGAATCTGTCCATCACTGCAACTTTCACTGTTTTTGGGTTCTGAATGATCACGTCTTCATTAATGTTTCTCATGGTTCAATTATGGGGGCTAATTGTCACATTGTTAACTCCTGTAATTACACATCAGTCACAAAAAACTCAAGAAAATGTCTGATAATAATGTTGTTACTGCTCTCAGGGATTCAGCCCAACCCTGGACCCCCGACTAATTACAGCACACCAAATGACTTTAAAAATGCCTCTGGGCTTCATTTTCTGCATGTAAACGCTCGTAGCCTTCTGAAAAAACTCGATGCTGTGAAAATCCTGGTCAGTTCTTCTGGGGCTGATGTTATCTTTATTTCTGAATCCTGGCTCAACAAATCTGTAATGAATAATGACGTGGCAATCAATGGATTTAACATCTACCGCTGTGATCGTCAAAAAAGGGGGGGTGGAGTCATTATTTACATTAGAGACACTCTGGTTTCAAGTCTTGTGTCTTCCAAAACAATTCCAAATCAGTTTGAAGCCTTATCTGTAAACATCACCTTGAATGGAGGCCAGGTTTTAACTGTAGTCTGCTGCTATCGTCCACCATCAGCTTCACCTGAGGCATTAAATGCCATGAAGGAATTCCTTGGTAATTTAAAATTCACACAGGTCTTTTTAGCTGGAGATCTTAACATTGATTGGTGTAAGTCGACCCCCCTCTGTGACAAATTCAAGGAATGTTGCTTGTCTTTTAATTTAACCCAACTGATCGACTCCCCCACCAGATTAAATAAAAGCCACCCTGACAATTCCTCCATCTTAGACCTGTTTCTAACTAATATGCCTCACAAATTCCCTGGTACAGGTGTATTCGCTGATCTTTTGAGTGATCATTGTGTGACAGCGGCTTTAAGAAATAGTAAACTTCCACCTTCTAAGCCCAGATTAATTCAAAAAAGGGATCTGAAACATTTCTGTGAACAGTCATTCCTCTGGGATCTGTCTCACTTTGACTGGCATCGTATTCTGTTAACTGATGACGTGAACTCTGCTTGGAACTATTTCCATAATAAT